TTGTGGTTTTGAATGTCTGTAATTTGTAGGTTCTTGTGGTTTAGAATGTCTGTAATTTGTAGGTTCTTGTGATTTGGAAAGTCTGTAATTTATAGGTTCTTGTGGTTTTGAATGTCTGTAATTTGTAGGCTCTTGTTATTTGGAATGTCTGTAATTTGTAGGCTTTTGTGGTTATGAATGTCTGTAATTTGTAGGCTCTTGTGGTTTTGAATGTCTGTAATTTGTAGACTCTTGTTGTTTAGAATGTCTGTAATTTGTAGGTTCTTATGATTTTGAATGTCTAATTTGTAGGCTTATGTTGTTTAGAATGTCTGTAATTTGTAGGTTCTTGTAATTTTGAATGTCTGTAATTTGTAAGTTTTTATGGTGTATGGACCCCATGTGGATCCGGGGGCCCATTGTGGGGAAAAAAGAATAGACCCATTGCCTCCCTAACAAAAGTGTCATGACTAATTAGGAGTTTCCTTCAAAGTCAGAGTGCATTTGCCTGAGAGGCAAAGAACCAACAGTCTGCATGAGCCAGACCTATAAGATGTATGTGCGTGCAAAACTGTTCTTGTTCTTGTTTTTACCCCAGAACCTACACCTGGATTTTCTCCATGAGGTTTTTGGTGTCAGATCTGGTGAGGCTTGCAGCTGTTACCTCACTACTGCACAAGTCATACCAAAATATGGGGTCTCAATGTTTTCTCACAGATGTTATGTAGCTGATTATTTGTTTCTTTAACCCTTTCGCTGCTATGGACGAGAAAACTCGTCTGCCCGGTAGACTGCTAAGGACGAGCTAACTCGTCTTCCGTTTTCTGTGCCCTCACTGCTAAGGACGAGCTAACTCGTCTTCCGTTTTCTGTGCCCTCACTGCTAAGGACGAGCTAACTCTGTCTTCCGTTTTCTGTGACCCTCACTGCTAAGGACGAGCCTTACTAGTCTTCCGTTTTCTGTGCCCTCACTGCTAAGGACGAGCTAACTCGTCTTCCGTTTTCTGTGCCCTCACTGCTAAGGACGAGCTAACTCGTCTTCCGTTTTCTGTGCCCTCACTGCTAAGGACGAGCTAACTCGTCTTCCGTTTTCTGTGCCCTCACTGCTAAGGACGAGCTAACTCGTCTTCCGTTTTCTGTGCCCTCACTGCTAAGGACGAGCTAACTCGTCTTCCGTTTTCTGTGCCCTCACTGCTAAGGACGAGCTAACTCGTCTTCGACTTTTATTACAGATTGCTAAGAACCGTAATTCTCGGGGGTGAAATGGCAATATACATTACCTAAATCTGTTCAAACTGACACATTTACATACAATGAAAACACATATCACGTTCGTTTAGGTGTATTTAGATGCATTTTACGTTACCCTGTTTCTTTGTTACCGTAGAAGCATGGTCGGTGAACGGTATATTTTTTGCCCTGAAATATACTTATTGTTTTGCGTTAGTCTACCTTTTTTTTCAAATACAAAAAAACAAGAAAATTAGTTAATTAAAGTTAATAAAGAATTAATGGAGTTTCTTTTAAGAAGTAATAGTAAGGATCACTTTGAAACGTGTGAGTTTTATATATATATTTTTTTTAAATATCCAGAAACCGTGACTTGTTAACCCTTTTGCTCGGTACTATGGATATTGCAACCCTTCGGCCTTGATTCCATGATAGGTACTGTAAATCTGGGAGAAAATGTGGCTTTTCTGCCTACCCCCGGGAGTGAACCCGGACCACAAGGAGTTCGTCACCCGGTCACTGTGCAGTCCGGTTTAGCCAACTACACTAGAGAGCCGGGCGTGAGTTATATAAGCTGGGTTATCTTCCTAGCACGCCGGTGGACACATGTACTTTTGGCTGTGAGCAAGACTGACCATATGACCAAGCTATCTACATCAACTGGATTTGAAATGGATCCCCAGTAATCAAAATGAAGATATGGTCACGTACTGAAATGATTAATGTTAATGTTTCTAATATACTATACAACTTAAATAAATGTGTCTGTCTATCAAAGTGTACAATATTGGTCCTATTTTCAGTTTTAATATTCATATGAATTTCTAGTGTAGTTGGTATCATATCTGCCTTACAATCGAAAGGTCTTGCCTTCAACCCCTATATGCCGGTTTTTTTTTTCAAATGTAAATTTTAAATTTAAGCTTATAGCACTTTTGGCAACAGATCACCAAAGTATTAATTAATTAAACATCCTGTCACATGCGTTTAGGTGGATTTAGATGCGTTTCACGTTATCCTGTTTCTTTGTGAAGCGTGGTTGGTGTACTGTGCATTTGTGGGGAAAAACACTCCTATTGCTGAATTTCACTCAATGCTAGAGAAATTCTACAGAAATATTGCAAGGAAAAGATAAAAGTGAAGGAGGACAAAACAGTGAAGATCTGCCACTTCGTTTGGTACTATGACATTTCCCTTCAATAATAGAGTCCGTAACATCACAGAAGAAATTCCCAACAAGAAAGTGTGTGGTATGCGCAAAAAGCAAAAACAACTACGGGAAACCAGATGCATGAGCAAGGACTGTGATTTGGCATTGTGTGTCTCACCTTGTTTTGAAATATTTCACACAAAAAGATATTATTAATAAGAATAAAAACCATGTATTTACTTACTAAAGTGTTTGTTTGCTTTGGAAGTTTGTAGTGTTTTCTTTTTGTTAATGAGTTTTTATGGCGTAGCCATAGCCCGTCTGACTTGTCAGCGCATAGGCCAAGCCACAAGCGCGTCTTCTGCTATTGGAGGGAAAAAAGGTATTCAGCACAGGAGGAAAGATTAGCACTCGCTTGACTTAGCACAGTGGTTTTGTTGGCTGGCGGAGGCCGCAGCAGCGAAAGGGTTAACTGATATTATTTAGATTATTTTTTTTTTGCTAGTATATGCTCTATGCAGACGTGAATTAATTCTGAAATTACTAGTATGAGGGTGTTTTAATTCTGATATGTAACTAATATTAACTAAGAGAAATAAGAGTGTGTAAATGTGTATAGTAACTAAAGGGCTAGACCTATATTTTTGAGACCAATAAACAGTCTGTGGGTGATGGGGTCAACATCACGCCAGCCGCCTTTACTGCCCTGGTACCCCCTCAAAACCGGGTTGACCTGGGAGCCAAGGACCAGAGCCCATGACCTTGAGATTCTCAGGCAAGCAACTAGCTGATACACCACCACAGCTCCCAGATGTGTATAGTACCTGCATGTTTACTCATTTCTACAGAAACTGATGTTAGTAGACAATTAATTGATCAATGTTACACAAATATTTACAGGGCAAAGGCTAATGTACTTTCCACAGAATGTGGTGCCATCTGCCGAGAGCAACACACAGAGCACAGATTCCCTAGCTCCATTGATCCAGAGATTTCCATAAAGAACCAAACAGCACATCCGTGAATCAAACCCACAACCTTTCGAGCGCTTGACCACTTTGCTAGATACCCCAGAATACCATTACCATTGTTTATTTGGATACCATTCTTGATTGGGATATCGTTGTCCACTAGGATATCGTTGTTCATTGGAATATTGTTGTTCACTGAGATAACATTGTTCACTGGGATATTGTTGTTCATTGGGATATTGTTGTTCATTGGGATATTGTTGTTCATTGGGGTATCGTTGTTTATTAGGATATTGTTGTTTATTGGGGTATTGTTCACTGGGGTATCATTGTTTATTGGGATATCGTTGTTTATTGGGATATCGTTGTTCATTGGGATATTGTTATTTAATGGGATACCATTGTTCACTGGGATACCATTGTTCCCTGGGATACCATTGTTCAGTATTATGATACCTTATTAACACCTTATATATGGGGCACCGGGGAGACACCAGAGGATCTGGCTGACACTCCACACTCAGAGGAAAGGCAAGACGGACATACAGTCAGACTGTTACTGGTACCATCAAATTTGTTACTCTTCGCTGGCTGCTGAAGATGGGGCTGAAGCACTTATAGGGCTGTCCCCAGTGTTGTGATGTCAGTTCTTGAAACTCAACTAACACCCTATGTACTAAATGTCATAAAGTTCCGTTGATTTCTTTCTTCATCGTGCATTCATAATATGTCTCTAGTATATAGATGCATTTTAAAGCCATTCACAATTTTTGTTTCAGCCATGTGCTTTTGAGGAGTATTTTCCAAGAATAGAAGGTAAGTGCATGTACCCCTTCCCTCTAGATTATTCTTTTCTTTCTCTCTGAAATCGGTCATGTGCTTAAGCTATCAGGTGTGTTGCCATCATGAAATGGCACAGGAAAACGAGTCTCCATAGGTTTCCCAAAGTTTGTCCTGCATACCTCTTCCATCTGGTGAAGCGTTGTCCTGCAGGTTTTGCTGTAGGGGCAGATTATTCTTTAAAATTAACATGTAACAGAAAATTTCTTAAATACTTTGGATAAATATTTAGTTTCCATGACCCTCTTATAACACAAGATAACACTATCATCTGAAAAGATGGAAAGGTGCCATTTAAATGAAGCAGATAGAAAATTACTTTCTAAAAGAACTAAAATCGAAGAAGAAGATGAAAAGTGACTTTTTACTAGAACTGAACATCGAAGAAGAAGATGAAAACTGACTATTAACTAGAACTGAACATCGAAGAAGAAGAATGAAACTGGCCATCTAAGAGAACTGAACATTGAAAAAGAAGATAGAAACTGACTGTCTAAGAGAATTGAACATCAAAGAAGAAGACAGAAACCGACTTTTCTACGAGAATTGAACATCGAAGAGTGGGTCTGTTCTTGTTATCCCCATAATGGGGCACCCCAACGTACATGGGGAGATCATTGGTTGATTATTAATCTTCTCTTTGAGATAAACAAATAAAATGGTTTGCCCACTTAGAGATAATGCGCTGTGATGCTATACCTTAAAAGGCATATATCAAAAGAGGAGAGGGATGTAGAGCAGGAGGTAGACCAAGAACAAGATGGAAAGATAAAATTGGAGAAACTCTAGAATAGTAAAATTTGTTTATGATTGACATAGCCAGAACAGCAACAACCAGAATCTTAAATCCACTATTACGCCTAAATAGGTGAAAAGGGAAGTAAAGAGGAGAAGAAGGAGTGATTCACCTCAGCATTATGTTTGTACACACATGCAAGTGTCTGCCTGTGTATTTGCTTCTACAGAACCAATGTCAGTAGACAGTTAAATGTTGAATAATACATAAGTATTTACAGGGACAATACTCAAGAATTCTTTTTCTTCCACTTATTCACTTTCTTTTTTTTTATAACTGCTTTGGGTGTCAAGGGGAGATATAAGGTTCTGCTTGTTACTCTTCTACCCACCTCAACCAAGACAGACTGTGCCATTGTAAAATGTCTCTGATCTGATCTTTCCACCTTGTTCTTGGTCTGTCTTGCGCTCAATATCCTTCATTATTAGTGTATGCCTTGTATTCTGTGACATCAAAAGGTATTCTCTCTTAGTGGGCAAACCCTTCCCTTTTATTAGCTGCCATTCTTTGAAATTTAGAATTGGTTCGGTGTTGATTTATTTTCTCTTATGACCTCATACCTGATTTTATCGCTAGCGGTCACTCCTGCAATCTTCTCAGACATCTCATTTTCTTGGTTACCAACTAAAGTATTGTAAATGCCTAATTAATTCTGTGTGATCTCATGTTATATGCAAGTTTGCCTAATCATTAAGGTGTGTACAAACATTACATGTTTTCTCTTAGCTGTGATTCTCTTTGGAGAGCCTGTCAGGTGGGAAACCCCTTTGCAGCTAATTATAGATGTCCTGCTGACAAACGGACATCCAGCGGATGATCTAGTGGATATACCTTATCCACATATACCTGTCCTAGCATGTAATATGGACCTTCTATGGATGTCAGAGCACAAGTTGCCCAGGTAAGTGTTGTTTTCTTCTTTTTTTTCCTTTCTTCCCTTTGTATAACTGTGGTGTTTGTTACTTCAGTTATGCTGTTTATTCATCTGTTGTAAAAGCGGAAATTTTTTTTTTTACCGCTTTATCTGAGGAATGTTGGTGATTGTGGTACAAGGCTAAGTCATTTTACTTTTATCCTGGTATTACACCGATTTGTTTCTGAGGAGGGGATTGTTGTAAGGCTGTTCTGTTGCTTAAAAATATGTTGTTTGAGAATCTGTTGTTTGAGAATATGTTGTTTGAGAATCTGTTGTTTGAGAATATGTTGTTTGAGAATATGTTGTTTGAGAATATGTTGTTTGAGAATATGTTGTTTGAGAATATGTTGTTTGAGAATATGTTGTTTGAGAATATGTTGTTTGAGAATCTGTTGCTTGAGAATCTGTTGTTTGAGAATATGTTGTTTGAGAATCTGTTGTTTGAAAATATGTTGCTTGAGAATCTGTTGCTTGAGAATATGTTGTTTCAGAATCTGTTGTTTGAGAATCTGTTGTTTGAGAATGTGTTGTTTGAGAATATGTTGTTTGAGACTATGTTGTTTGAGAATATGTTGTTTGAGAATCTGTTGTTTGAGAATCTGTTGTTTGAGAATATGTTGTTTGAGAATATGTTGTTTGAGAATCTGTTGTTTGAGAATCTGTTGCTTGAGAATATGTTGTTTGAGAATCTGTTGTTTGAGAATATGTTGTTTGAGAATATGTTGTTTGAGAATCTGTTGCTTGTGAATATGTTGTTTGAGAATAGGTTGTTTGAGAATCTGTTGTTTGAGAATATGTTGCTCGAGAATCTGTTGCTTGAGAATATGTTGTTTGAGTATATGTTGTTTGAGAATCTGTTGCTTGTGAATAGTCTTTTATTGAAAAAAACTGTACAGGAGCATAATAACAACGTCTACTTAAAATTACCATTTTAAATTTCAGCCGCCATAGTGGTAGTCTGCACATATCTGTGTGTCATCTCTCATAGTTTTAAATTCATACCATTATTTCTCTTTTTCTTCTCCTCATCCTGTTCCTTCATTTCCTTCTTCTGATCAATTTCTTCATCTCCTCCTCCCATTCATCTTTCCATTCTCGCATATCAGCATGGATAGTATCAGTATTTATAACATTTCACCTTGTTTTTTTTTAATTTTTCATTTTTATCTTGACACATTTTTCACCTCAGCCAAGTAAATTTTTAATTGTTCTGCCAGACACAAATATTCCGTGCATTATATGATAAGCTTTCACTGTGTCTCTACCACGTGAACATTATCTGTTGAATTTGTTTAAAACAAAATTAAATTCAGTTCTAGATTATTTTTTTACCTCCTCCAGTTTAAGGGCTACATTTTATATTGTTTTTTTAATTTCTAGGTTAATCTACTTTTACCCATACATTTCTCTTGTTCAACTTGTAGTATCATGTTACCAGCCAATTTAAAAATGCAATTTTCATGTGATATCTGATGCACTTTACACTTTACTATGTGAAGCTTGTCAGATTACTGCCCTGCTCTGAGTTTATATTTTTGTAAATTTTGTTTTTATATATTACATTTACTTGCTGTATTGTTTAAATTTATGTGATAATTTACAGCAGAAGTTTATACAAATTTATAACAGAATTAAAAAGTAGTCAGATTAAAACCGTGGGGGAAATTCGGTTAACTCTTAAGGACATGAAGGTGTGCTTAGTGTCATTATACTGTTTAAAATATTGCCCTAATTATTTTCAAGCACTATCTTATTCCAAACATAGAAGTACTTGGGTGCAAACTTCAACTGCTCCAACTTGCTGAGAGAAGAAATACAATCTAGAAATAAAGTATACTATGCCCTTCAACATCTGCTAAAGTCAAAATCTCTATCTCGCAACACCAAGATCAAAATATTAAAACTTTCATAAGACCAATCGTTTTATGTGGCTCTAAAATATGGAGCACAACTAAAAGAGATGAAGCCTTATTACAAATTTGTCAAATACAGAGTATTACGACGAATCTTTGGACCCATCAAAGATGCAAACAGCGAGGAATGGAGAGTGAGAAGCAACAACGAGATTCATAATCTGTTTAAATCACCATTGATCACTGGCATCATGAGATCTAATAGACTGAAATGGCTGGGGCATATTGAGAGAATGTCAAATGACAGAAAGGTAAAAACTGTAAACACAAGTAAGCTGAATGATTGTAGACAATGAGGCAGGCCAAAAAGATGATGGAGAGATAAGGCCCAGACAAATTTGTAAACACTTGGTGTCACCAAGTGGAACAAAAAGGCCAATGAGAGAGATGAATGCAGGCAGGTGATATCTGCATCAATGAACCTCAAGAGCTTGGAACGTTGAAGAAGAAGAAAACTATCTATTCCAGCTGGGTTTTATTTTACCTGGTGCTACTGTAGAATAAAATGTGTGCATCCACTTTCACTAAATCCTTAGTTGCCTTTTATGTCAAGCTTGTTAAGAGACAGTGGGCATATTCTTGTTCAAAACGTCTAGTACCCTGAAAACCACACAGGGACCTAGGTGTGTGAAATCTTGTGTTTGTTTGGCTGTATTAAGGTAATGTAATCACAGTTTCAACTTTCCAGCAAACAGGTCGCCCCATAGTTGCTTCCTTCCTGTGCCACCAGTGAAAACCACACAAAATGTCTATCACTGTTCCTTGTGAATAAATTGACAGACTTCAGTTTCTGCAAAGCCAATAGCGCATACACATGCAACTAATGCTTAAGGCAGCCATCATAATGCAGTTCCTTGTTGATGAAAGCAGCAGTTACAACAGATCAGTAGTTGCACACATAATTAATTGTATAAGGCAGCTATCATTGTTGATGAAAGCAGCAGTTACAACAGATCAGTAGTTGCACACATAATTAATTGTATAAGGCATTCATCATTGTTGATGAAAGCAGCAGTTACAACAGATCAGTAGTTGCACACATAATTAATTGTATAAGGCAGCTATCATTGTTGATGAAAGCAGCAGTTACAACAGATCAGTAGTTGCACACATAATTAATTGTATAAGGCAGCTATCATTGTTGATGAAAGCAGCAGTTACAACAGATCAGTAGTTGCACACATAATTAATTGTATAAGGCATCCATCATTGTTGATGAAAGCAGCAGTTACAACAGATCACTTGTTGCACACATAATTAATTGTATAAGGCATCCATCATTGTTGATGAAAGCAGCAGTTACAACAGATCAGTAGTTGCACACATAATTAATTGTATAAGGCATCCATCATTGTTGATGAAAGCAGCAGTTACAACAGATCACTTGTTGCACACATAATTAATTGCATAAGGCACCACCAGTTCCCTGGCAACAGGCCACTGTTGAGCCACTGGCATGAATCATGCAATCATATTTTCTGCTTATTCACACAGGCAAGCATCTAGGCTGCCACGTCTCCATTTATAAGTACACCTAATATCTTCTTCTTAGCCTTCACCATCTGTAAACTTCAGCGGAAAGTTCTGGTTATGTGTCCGCTACAGGACTTTGGTCTTGTTTGAGAACTTGAGTTGTGCACGCACATTTGTTTGAAAGATCTGGCTTATTTGCATGCAGACTGTTGGTTTCTTGCCTCTCAGGCCGATGCACTCTGATTTTGAAGGACCCCCTAGTCCTTTTTCCTATTTAGTCACCTCCTGTATCGTGCTAATTAGGCGAAGCAGAGTGGGTCTGTTCCTTCTTCTCTAATATGGAGTCTTGGAGCCCACACAGGGAAACCTAATATTATTTAGTAAAGTAGTTGTATTTATGCGGCTGATTTTTTTTTAACTTGTATTTTATTATACACAGTTTTCAATAATGTTAGTTTAAAATTGTCACCATGTCATGTGCGTCTCACATTTATCTACTAGCATACAAAGCCAAAAGTAATTGATAATTTAATGCCCACTGTTTTATAATCCACACATATGGAGTCTGCCATTTTGCAGTAACAGAATATTAGTTATTAACTCCGTCTATGCCAGAAGGTTTAGCATTAAAGGATTGGACTAAAGTATAGGGGAGGGGGTGGCATTTTGAAAAGTTATAAAGCACCAGGAGCTGATAGATTACCAACAGAAATAATTCAAACAGCAGGTAAAAGCAGCATCAGATGGCTTCACAGAATATTCAATGCAGCATGGGCACAACAAACGGCCCCTATTGATTGGCAACATGCAATAGTTATACCATTGTGGAAGAACAAAGGAAGCAAACGAGAATGCGGTCAATATCGAGGCATCTCTCTTTTAAGCCATGTTTGGCAAAATGGTATATGCCAAGATAATAGAAACAGACTGAGACCAGTGATAGGAACCACAGCTGGCAGAAGAACAGATGGGATTTAGGAGAAATAGAAGCTGCACAGATGCAATCTTCACACTTAAACAGTTTTAATAGAAAAGAACATTGAATCAATAAGAACTTATTGTGGCATTCGTAGAACCAGGGAAGGCATTTGACAGAGTCGACAGGACAATTACTATGGAAAATAATGGCAATATATGGAGTAAAGCGAACACATCATTGAAGTGGACAAAAGTTTATACAGGGATTGTAGAAGTGTAGTTAGATAAATCAGGGAACATCTCATCCTTTCACAGTGACATCTGGAGTAAGACAGGGGTGTGTCTTATCACCACGCTGTTTATCACCTACATCGACAGTATTTGCAAGAATGCCAAGCCCATGAATGAAGATCTTAGTAAGATCAACGAATTACTCCTTTGCAGATGACCAGGCCTTGATAGCAGATACAGCCATGAAATTGCAAACAACATCTAACATCCATGAATGAAGAATGTAAAACAAATAATATGAGAACAACACTGAAAAGACAGAAGTAATGTCAATAGGAAAAAAGAAGACAGATCTAAACATAGCAATAGAATACAAAGACATTAAACAGGCATCTGAGTTAAATATCTGGGAACTACATTTACCGAAGATGGGAAATTGGATTAAAGAAA